TCCCTCCCCCCACCGTATGGCTCCCACTGTCAAGCTTGAGGATCCTGAACGATTCTGAAGGGGTGAATGCCCTGAAGGTGAATGCCTTCGGAGGTCTGAAAGAAGCACCCGTCCCCACCTTCTGGTTTCCAGTGTTGTGTCGTTTTGGCATCTTGAACAATGTGAACGATCYTGAAGGGGTGAATGCCCTGAAGGCCTGAAAGAACCCCCTCCCACCCTATGACTCCTACTGTTGAGCTTGAGGATCTTGAACGATCCTGAAGGGGTGAATGCCCTGAAGGCCTGAAAGAATTCCCCCCCCACCCTATGACTCCCACTGTCAAGCTTGAGGATCCCAAACGATCCTGAAGGGGTGAATGCCCTGAAGGTCTGAAAGCACCCCTCCCCACCGTATGGCTCCCACTGTAGAGCTTTATAGACATTCTGAATTCACCTCTTTAGGCATCCTGAAAAAAAAAAATGTTGTTAACCTTTTCTCAATTAATGCGAATAAATCTTTTTCAGTCTCTGCGCACAACCTATATCCTTCATTTACAAGAAAGATATCCTCCATACCCTTATCGTACAACAAGGGGCACATTACGATAGTATTGCCTGGGTTCCGGTCCAGTGAGGCGAATACGAGTCTGGCTAGCCTATCTCCAAAATAAAGAATCTGGTCAACGCTACCTTCGGTCTTACAATTAGTCTGTTCGACAAGAAAATTTCCGATTTCCTCTGTTGAGAAACCAAACACTTCCGTTGTTAGTTTCGATGACGAACCCCAAACTTGGAATGCTTCAGAAAGTTCAGCTGCCAACAAAGCATCTCTCCGACTGCTTTCGTATCTCGGTACATTCTTTGCGTTGAGAGTCAGAGGTGGCACACCGTTGATCTTACCGATCCGGAAATGGACGTGCCCATTCCTTTCTGGATAGGGCATACCAGCACAACGACAACTGGTCGCACGAGCCTACGCGAATCGCCGACGGTTATGTAGGAGGTCGCCCACATTAGATCCTCTCTTCCAAACAACCAGTGTTCTCCGTTTTACCATTTCTTTCAGAGTCGATTCAATCTGCATGTCGCCTACCTTCCTTCGTACTACCCGCATAATCTTGCTCTTCTTAATTCCTTCGTCATACTGCGTCTTCACGATGATCCTTGTTCTCACATTGACCCCATGTCCGTCTCGATCGCCCTCGAGATCATCAATCGTGCTTTGGATCTACTCCGCTTTGTAGCAAAGGTTTTGACGGCGCTGAAATACTTCACGAGTTCACCGATTGTTTTTTATCGAAGGTCCTTCTATAGTCGAGGACGCTTAAACATACGTATCAGATCATCTCGAAGTGCAATTGAAGCAGGGAAGGCCTCCGTAACACGATTAAGTGTCACTGTTCCCGCTACTTCAAACTTGCTCTTGCATCGCCTTAGTGGTCTCGATCTTCGTCCAAATTTTTTCCCCTCGATTCACCGAAAAGCCTCCGTATCAATCTTCACCCATCAACCCATGTATTACCATCATTACAATGCACGATTACAGGTCCCCTCCTTCTGGTAAGACTACGAAAGGTTTCAATCACCTTAACTGTACTCTCAGCCTTATCGTTCACACGAATTTCAATTAACTTATCTGCGTCAGTTTCGTAACTTCCGGTCTTCTGATTATTCGCCCGTCCTGCCCCATCGTCTCCTTTCCCTACGATCTGATCTCATCTTAGTCTTCTTCAGTGCCTTTAGGGACTTAACGGTCCGAGCGTTAAGAAAAGGAGACCAATGTCGAATCAGAGTTTTTTTGACAACTTCTAATTCAGATCGGTCAGAGCTAGTAAACAAAGGTAACGCGACGTACTGATGAGAGCCTACTTTTCCCAGCCAGTTATATAGTGGTTGTCTTCGTCTACCCTTGCTATGCCCATGCCTATAGTGTTCACACCATCTTGATCATAACTCCCTCTCGGTCATCCCGATATAACTTGCCTATACCATGGCGAAATAAGGACATATATGGAACTCTTTGGTTCAACAATGTCAAAACTCCCTTTCTCCACTTCATTTTGCCAATAATCAGCGAACTTTTCTCCCCATTTAAGTTCCACATTCAAAACTAACGCTATAGTCACAGCGCGAAGCATACGACCGTCATCTTTACAGATCCCCCCGCTACTAATTCTACGATCCCGTACCTCACCTGTCAGCGTCCAGTAGTCGTCGCGACGACCAACTCCTCACTCAGAATCATTCTCAGAGAAGGAGGCCTCAGAATCGTACGGTTCTTGAGTGGCCTCTTCCTTCAGTACAACACCTTTGCTGCTTTGCGTTTGCATGCGCAGTATCGAAGAGAGTGGTAACGGAATCGTTGTAGGATCATAGGTCACCGCCGAGCGTTGGATGATCAAACGTTTGATGGCATATTCACTGTTTTCATATGGGACTTTCTCCCGTCGGCAAGCTTCCTTCAGTTCGTCAATGGGCAGTGCGTCGTAGAAGTCGAGACATTCCTGTTCGAATTTCTCCTTCCCTCCTGGGCCACATGAAGTCGTGATGTGTTTCAACGATAAGTCGATCTTAGTCGGTGTGCTCATTGTTCCCATGTCGCTTCCTCTTTCAAGCTTTAGCTGTTCGATGCGTGCCCGGGCTTCGTCCAAGAGCATTCCCATACACTTCTTCTCCGGCGTAATGACAGGTGGACTGTTCCCGACCGGTATGTCAGGTCCACGTTTACGTTTCTCCGTCTGCCCAAGCTTGAAAACAAGCATCCTTAGAGTCAGAAGTTCTTCGTCTTCAAAATCTTCAGCATCCCCAAGAGTTCTTGGAGCTATAATCCGTCGTAACCTTTCTTTCTCGTCGTCGATGGTTTCTGTCGTGCCACTCCCTCTAGCCGCCATCTTCCCTTTTCTCTCGTATCTCTGTCGTTCATCGTCGCAGCCCTTACGCATCTCGCTACGTATGATGCGTAGTAGTCTCACGTCACGCTCTTCCTCTAGTCTTTGTCGTTCCTCCATTGGTTGTAGGCGTCGATTCTCTCTGCTCCTCCTGGTCTCTTCTTCATTACGTCGACATTCTTCTTCAGCCTCGTGTTCAATTCTAAGTCTCCGTTTTTCAGGCAGCTGCAGAAGGTACTCCCTCATAAGTGTGTTGGTATCATCCGTGGTACCCCTCCGCTCATTCCCGCTATCTACCGATTTGCTCCGCCTGGCGAGAGTCTCGGAATTCCCCGCAGTCATAGGTCTTCCAGTACGCCCAATCGCCGAAGGTTGGAATGTTGGGACGAAGGTGCGGCCGAGTGCAGTCTCTGATGAAGTGGCCGCCCTCCCCACACTTGTAGTACACTTTCTCGCAGATACAACTGCCACCTCCACTAGGTATAATTGCCTAGTTGGTTACGACTCTGAGTACAAGTATTTAGAGAACTGCAAACGAGCAGTCAACAGCACACTAGGCAAGCCGTACAAGTTGTGTGAAGTCAAATTCATTCGAATAGCATCTTCATATTAAAACAACACATGCTAACACGTGGTTGTTAACAATGGTTACGTGAAAGCACAAAGATGTGATGGCCGACTCCACAGACGTCTAATGACGTCAACACCCACAACCCAAGCTACGTAACGTCCGAGACGAAATACAGCTGACGCGCCAACTATCCCCTAGTCCAAGTCGAGCTGACGCCGTTTCGACTACAGAGGATTGATTACTTCCTACTGTCTTATTTAAAGTCGTCCAATAGATGCCTCGACACCAAATTCGAAAAAACTACGAACATTCATCCTGCTACCGGCCCAAAGGAAGGGCCCGACCACTTCAAAAAATCAAAGTTAAAGGAAACCCAGAGGCTACCCAAAACTTCTTGCAGACCCCTCTACGAAAAGGACCAGCAATTCACCTCAAAAAATTAAAGGGTCTTCCCTGGTCCCAACAGTAGTGACTATAGTCCCAACAAAAATAGGAATGGCTCCAGAAAAAAGTTTTACGGTCCCATGGGACCGGAACACAGATAATCCTAAAATGGGAACCGAAAGCAGAACAATGAGATTTCAGCATAATAGGTCTCGCCACAACACTGTCGAAACGAGCAAGGAAAAAAAAGTAGTGTAACTTCAGTACAGTCACAAAAACAGTTTGAAATTACACGTCAGGCATTCCCCCGAACATAACACACCCCCACACAACCCTACCTGACCAGAAAGCTATAGCTTGGATACATTGCGTGAAGTGCAATTTGGAACTTTTTTTTTGCCCAAAGTGTATTTTAAAAATCGTTTTGTGACTCCCGCATAGTTTTCCGAAAAAAGAAAAAAGCAAGAGTGCATGTTCAAACAGAGAGCGGGAAGATGCATCGGTTACTGATTGTAAATAGGAATGGATGCATAGTTTCCCGAAAAAAGAAAAAAGTAAGAGTGCACGTTCGGACAGAGAGCGGGAAGATGCATCGGTTACTGAATGTAAATAGGAATGGATGCACCTTGCCACTTTTTGTGGAAGATGCACTCATATGCTTTTTCTTTGCGACAGTGGTATGGCGGTGAGACCAAGGCCCAGTGTCTGTTGCTTTCACGCAGGCAGTTGCGGACAAGGGCAGTTGCGCAGCATAAGTATCCCCTCAGGGCACACCCACACTAGCAGTACCTCAAATGTACCTAATCTCGTTCATGGTCATACCTCCATGTGTCTGGCTGCATTTCGGTCGAGAAATACAAGTAAAACGGTTCTGGTGTGAGTATGCCCTCATAGGGTAGCTGTCCATCCATTTGCAACCCCATCTAGATCCCATTTTTTGCATCCACACCATACTCGCATTAGCACTTTCCTAAATGTATCCGACTGCAATTACGCCCAGACTTGGATGAATCTGGTCGCAATCGTGTCCACTGTCCAGAGTTCAGTGGAATATGTCCTCATGCAAGTACAAGTCCGTGCTAAAGCTTGGGGAACTCGGGATGTCCTGGACGTACATGCGCCCCTGTGCTCCATTACCGCTGGCGGACAGGGCTCTACCAGGAAGCGTATCGGCTCAACCATCGCTTCGTCATGATCAGGACATGGCGGACATAAGAATGAGGCGGTGATTCAGCCTGACTACCCTCTTCCTCGCCAATTGAACAGAGGGGTGAGTGAACGCTCCGAAACGTGAGCAACTGAGGAGACGCACAGTGCAGTGGGCGCAACATCGGCCTAGACCATGACGTCCCAAAGGTAAGAGATCCGCGTCTCCGCATAATGAGATGGGAGCGCCTGATACGTGGAGGTAGGAACTCCACAACACCAAAGGAGATGGCGACCTGATACGAATTCAATGGCGCCAGTAAACACCACCAACGCTGAAGCGGCACGAACATACCTAACTTGTCCGCATCAGCTACTAGCCACGAAGGCGATTAAGAGAGTGCGGCGAGATAATAACCTGTTGTATGACCTGCTGTGCGGCTCTCCTGCAAACCGGCAGCAAAGAACGAAAAAAACCGTCGGCATCAAGATAAGCGGCCATGGTGAATCTGTTCCCGACGCTTGACGATGGGGCGAACTATAAATACAAATTGAACCTGGTTGAGTCAGCAGTCGCAGGGGTGGGCAACGCAGCGGACCTGCCAGCAATAAACATGTTGGAAGACAACCTCTATAGGCTTGACCTGCTGGAGGAGGAGATGGAAACTGTATCTCTCTCCCACGAAATCGGTGCCTGCTTCCACTCTCTGCAATGCCTGAGAACAGCTATCTAAGATCCACTGTCCATCAAGTACCAGGCCTACGCCAACATCTGGACTGTCGATTCCGAAGATGACAAAGGAGGGATGGAAAATGATGCGACAATCGTCACCGAAATTTTGAAAACTGCTCATGAAAATGAAACCTTGGAGAGAGAGGTCAGAGGTCAAGGCGATGACATCTACCAGCAACACCATGCGAATGGGAGTTGTGGCAGTCCGGATGCGATCTCCCCGACCTTCACCGATGTTGGCGACGAGCGAAGCATGCTGGTGGAGGACAATAAGCTCCAAAACTACGACAAAACGAAGACCGGGGAGGGGGACGATGGGGGGGGAGACGATGGGGGAGGGAGAAGAAAACGACCGGCGAGAACGTGGAAGAGCCAGACTTATCGCCTATGGAGACCTCCCCGGTATGGCGAGTTAGGAGGGTGTTGGCAGGCAGAGGGGAAGATGGGGTCGCGAGAGCAGATGAACGTGCCGTTCATCTGTTTCATGCCTCGCCTGTCTCTGGATGCAGGGGGGGGGGGGTGACATACCCTCCTCCATCCAGTGTTGGAATTGCCTCGCCTCACATTGGGCTGACTGCATGGTATCTGTTGGGATCTCGCCCCGCCACCCTCTCATGTTAGGTCAACTACATAAGGATTGTATGAAATTCTTATCTGGGTAGTGCATTTCTCCCCGCTATTGGTAGTTTTCTCACATCAGGGTAACTTGTGTACTCGCTAGAGGGGGGATTTGCACATCAAACCCCAGCGTACTGATGATATCGTGGCAAGGGATTTTGAACGGGGGATGTAGGGTAGGGGTATTTTGGTGGGAGAGTCTTTGCCCCTGTGAGCAGGAGCATGGGGGTAAAACCCGACTTACCGTCTATGAACTCCTGCTGGAAATTAGGGTTGCATGGCATCGGTTATGTGGGGGAATAGGGTGGGGAAGTAATTGTGGAATTGTGATGGTAAGCATTTAGCTGGTGGTCAATTAATCCCCTCCTTGAGAGGGCAATCAATGCTGCCCCCGTGTTGAGCAGTCGTTACTTGGTTTGCTGACTTGCTGAAAAATTATACCCTAAAGATTTGTTCAATGGGACGCTGGACCCCTTTTCCAGCAGGTGCAACTCCCCACCAATAAAATGGAGCCGTTGACCCTGCGAGGGCCGCTAGTGGAGGTGACTCTTACCAACTCCGCTTGCATGCGATCGCGCAAACAGTGTTTTTCCGCAAAAAAAAAAAAAAAGATACACACGACCAGACTTGGATGAATCTGACCGCAACCATGTCCAGAGTTCAATGCCCTGATAACGTTTGGGGACGTATCTTCTGAGAAGATTGCAAAAAAGAAGCATCTTTCGTGAATCATATATTTTTGGCAGTGTGACCGGGCGAACATTCCCTAGGAACTTGGTACAGTAACTACTGACAAGATTCGACAACCCCAAGGAATTTGATTGTCGGGCGCCGAAAAGGATAATCTTTTCTTTGTTTGTCGGCCTTCCAATGCCTAGAGTCCAACACCAAGGTTGGCATTGATGTCAGAAAGCTACACGCAACCGTTGACTCGGTTTCCACACAGGTACCGAACACGAGTCCCGGTGGCCAAGTCCCACTAGCAGCATTGAGTTTCCTCAACGCCTGAATCTGAACATGTTTGCGGAGATATACGGTTGAGGAAACTCGAGGCTATTTCTGCACATCTCCACAAACACGTCCAGCTTCAGGCGTTGAGGAAAACTCAACGCTGCTAGTGGGACTTGGCCCCCGAAGTGGGGGAAGGGTCCTGACTTACAACAGTTGTTAGAGACGGCTATAGACCAGAATAGGTAAGACTGAAATCTTGTGCAAAGTCATATAAGGGCATATTCACACCATAACTTCCATGCATGTATTTCACTGCAATGACGGGCAGAGCTGTAATGTGATATTTTAATTTTTCCTGGATTTGGTATTATGAGTCATGTGGTTTGCAATCACGTCCAGAACTTTTAAAACAAAAAGTCTGAGGTGCGAGTGTATTCTAAGGTTTCAATCTTTGAATTCACACTTTTATTTGCATAATCCTTTTTAATTCCCCCCACCTATTTGCGTTGACTGACGACGACCTTCACCACGTAGCGACGTTGTCGAGCGCATCGGCCCCCGCGCGAGCGAGGGCCCTCCCGGCCGCGTCACGCAGGAGAAACTTAGACTTTCAACCTTTTAGAGACAACTCGGGGACAACACGGTAACCCGCGTCGACCCTTCGCCGCTCCAGCGAGCGCACCAGTTGTAGATCCCACGGTCCCCTGGTGACAGCCCCTTAGGGAAGGTAAGTTGTGCCCCGCGAGAACATATCTTATCGTAGGGGACCGCGGGATGTACAACTGGCTCACTCGGCTGGAGCGGCGAAGGGTCGACGCGGGTTACGGTGTCGTCCCCGAGTTGACTCTAAAAAGTTGAAAGCCTAAGTTTCTCCTGTGTGACGCGGTC